GCAGGAGGTGGCAAGGCAGGGTTCCCGCCCATGACTGAGGTCCTGGAACTGAGCCCTTTGCTACTGCTGAAGCAATCCTACTTGGAACACCCTGCCAGTGCTGGGACATGCAGAGGATGCAGGGCCATGCTACAGTAAAGCATACAGAGAGCCCAGGAGCTATAGTACAGATTGTCTAGCAACAGAACAGGCAGGTGAGGCTCAGAGACAGCCTAAAGGAAGGGCCAGTTCTTGGAACACAAGTATCCCGAGAAGATGGCAGAGGCCACAAACCACACAGCAGTCTTGGTATGAACAAGGTGCAAGTTGGCCAGGTGCGGTGGTTCATGCCTATAATCTCAGCACTTTGGGAGGCCGAGGTGAGAGTATTGCCTGAGCCCATGGGTTCAAGACCAGCAAAGAAAAAATAAAATAAAAAGGTGCAAGACTTGTTTCCCCCGTCCAACCTATCAAGCACTAAATAAAACTCACAACAGAAACTGATACGACTTAACCCTACCCTGTGCAAGTGGCTCAGGCTGCGTTGTAAAAGTTAACCCACTCTAACCTCGCAGTTGTCCCATAATGCAGGGGTCCCCAACTCCTGGCTGGTACTGGTCCATGGACTGTTAGGGACCAGGCTGCACAGCAGGAGGTGAGTAGTGGAGGAACAGAGTTCTGCCCTCTCTCAGATCAGTAAAGCATTCAATTGTCACAGGAGTGCGAACCCTATTGGGAACTGTGCAGGTGAAGAATCTAGGTTGCAGGTTCCTTATGAGAATCTAATGCCTGATGATTAATCCCTACCCCTACCCTCTGACGGTAGAAAAGTTGTCTTCCATGAAACCAGTCCCTGATGCCAAAAAGGCTGGAGACCATATAATGGACATGTCACCATACTCATTTTATACACTTGGAAATGAAAGGTCAGAAAGCCAAGAGAGGCAAGGCTGAGGTTGGAATCCAAGTGGTCAGAGAGTCATATACCCTGGCTCTTGGTGCTCTGCCATGGTGCCACCGTACTTGGTTAGTGGTCAGGGGCAGGCCTGTGTGCTATATTTTTGTTGGTTGTTCATTTGCTTTTTTCTCCAATTAGGGGAAATCGAATTTTTAAGTGCCAAGCATTAAGTGATATGCTTAACAAAATCTTCTATCGGTCCTTGATCTCTCTCTGCCTCCCACCCTCGGTCTCCTTCCCATCACGGGCATGTTTTCTTTGAAAGAGTTGTCTGAAGTCGCTGCCTCCACTTCCTCACCTCACAATCATTACTCAGTTCCTCTGTCATCAGCTTCTGACCCCTAACTCCCCTAACCTCCCCCCACAAATGCAGCACTGGCACAGATGAATAATGACTTCTTTGTTACTGAATCCCATCCAATGGCACTATGCTATCCTCTATCACTTGACTTCCCCAACAGGATAAAACTAGTCACAATTCTGTGCTTACTAAACTCTCATGACATTAGTCATTTTCGGGAATCCTCCCCACTATCTGGTCCCTCTTTCAGGCACTTCCCTTGACCTAAGATTGTTCCCTAAAAAGTCCGCATCAGCTCTCTATTCATACTCTTCTGTACAGCTACACCCTGGGCAATCTCAAATCTCATCCATCCCAGAGCTTCCGCTATTACTTTCTATTGGCCTTAGATTAACATTACCAGCCAGAAGCATGTCCCTGGGTTCCAGACCTGTCTCTTCAATCACCTAGTAGACCTCCCCACATGCACACTACACATGCATCATGAAATCAACCAGTCCCAAACTAGGCTCCACCAACCCCAATAAGTACCCCTCTCTTCATGGGCGCTATATCTGTTGAAGACCAAAACCCACTGCCAAATACCTGAGAAGTCTCCAACACTCTTCCTCCCTTTTCACCAACACCACCCAGTCGCTAACTCTTTAATACATCTCAAATCTATCACATCTCTCCATCACTGGACACCATCATCAACTGAATAGTAGATTATTATGCCACACTCAGCATCTCCATGTGCTCTCCCACTGGACCTTGAGCAAATCTGCCACAACTCGGGCATCACAGTTGCCATGGAATCTCCCCCTAATCCTTGCTGCCCCTCTGTCAGGGTACACTCCTGTATTTAAATGATCTCGTTTACTTCTGAATTCTCAACTAGACTCTAAACTCCTTGAAAGCAGAAATGAACCCTTCTCATGGGTATAATCCCTGAGGAAATGACCTGAAGGAGGAGATGTAGTTATGGCTGGTACTGAAGAAGAGGTGGAGATTTCCAAGAAAGGGAGAGAGGGGGAGATAGAAGCCCATTCAAGAAGAAGGAGTGGGTAGGAAATAAAGCAGGCAACTAAACCCAGGTATGCCCTCGAGAGCCTACAGCTTGGTTAAAACAGAGAGTTTCCAGAAAGAGGAACATGATCTTGAATTGCATTCAGGCAAGGATTAAAGAAAACATCAAAAGGAAAAACTAACATTTACAAAGTACTTAATTTTTAAATGTATATTCAATTTAACCTCATTAAGAGGCTATAAAGCAGGTATTATTGTACCCTTGATTCAAATGATAATGGGGCAAGCAGATATCCCCAAAGTTTATTGTCATATTTTAATGACAAGATCACAGCATGTTGTGACTTCCATTATTCCATGATCTTCAACACTAAAAAATAATCATCTTTGATTAGTAACAATAATTCCAGAATTGTCCTACCATATAATAACACAGGATCAAGGAGCAAAAGAAAGTCAGGACAACATGAGTGACTTAGAAAGAAGAATCTGGCCACAAGCAGAAGATGAGATTTCAGAGGAATTAAGCAAGAAGCAGAAAGACTAGAATGGTGGTAGGGGGGAAGTGGTGGTTTGGGGAGAAGGGTGGGATGGGGGTGGAAGGGACAGGACAGTGACCGAAACACGAGGCTAGGGAGGCTTCAGTCTAGAGCATGGCTATGGGGCCAAAAGCAGGGACAAAAGCAAAGGGAAGTTCAGGCAGAAGAAATACAAAGATTTGAAAAAACAAACTGGCAAGCAGAGTGGCTCATGCCTGTAATCCCAGCACTTTGGAGGGCCAAGGTGGGAGGATAGCTTGAGGCCAGGAGGTGAGCTATGATCACACCAATGCACTCTAGCCTGCGCAAGAGAGCCAGACCCTATCTCTAAAAGAAAAAAAGATAACAAAAATTTTATAGAAGAAAGGAAACTCTCAGAAGTCAACAGAGGAGAATAAACCATTCCATTTCCCAAACCTACATAACATTTGATTCCAGAAAATCCAAATATCATGTCTCAATGAATTAATATCTCAACATTTTTATACATTAATATCTCAACAGGAATTATTAATTAAATGGAAACATGGATCCCCAAAAAGCAATTATTACCAATTATGTCCAGTGTGTCTGGATTATGGACCCAATTCTAAAAGAAAAGACTCATAAATTAGCAGCACCCCTCACCTGCTTAAAGAGGAGGAACCCTTGCTCCCTGCTAAGTGTACTTTGCATTTCACAAACCTCTTAAACAGAGAATTAGGGAATGTGCTTTTTACATACTTTTTCTTGGGCTTGAAATCTTTTTTTTTTTTTTTTTTTTTTTTTTTTTGGGAGGTGAGGTCTCACTCTCTCGCCCTGGAGTGCAGTGGCATGATCACGGTTCCCCGCAGCGTCAACCTTCTGGGTTCGAGCAATCCTCCTGCCTCAGCCTCCTGAGTAACTGGGACTACAGGCACAGGCTACCATGCTTGGCCAATTTTTATTAGGTTTTAGAGATGAGGTCTATGTTATTCAGGCTTGTCTTCAACTCCTGGCCTCAAGAGATACTCCTACCTTAGCCTCCTAAAGTGCTGGGATTACAGGTGTGAGCCACTACACCTGGTGAAACTGATCTATAACTGCACAGTGAGATGCTAGCCTGTGTTTAATTCCTTTTCTTTTATGTTCACTCTTTAACTTTATTGGGATATAATTCACATACACCATATATACATATATATATATGTGATAATTTTCATCCATTTTAAGTATATCATTCAATTATTTTTTGTTAATTTGGGAATTTTTGCTATCATCACTACAATCTAATTTTTGTCATTTCAATAAGATTCCTTGGGCTCTTTTTATAGATGACCTTGACCCCTGCCCCTGGCCCCAGAGTACTAACCCACTTATGCAAATATACTCCTGCCTCCAAAGTGTCTTTTCCTACTGACTCAGTAAATATGCAGGAACAAAAGTAATTGCTTTTACCAGCCAGAATTGTGCTTTGTATTTGGAGAGGATGAGGTTACTCTGGGTCTCTGAGCAACATCAGTAAGGGGACATGAAAGCCCCACATGGTTTCATTTCATGAGAAACAGTGTGACTTCCCCTGTAATAAACTGTTCCATAAGCATATTTTATTCAGCTGCGCTTCCCAGAATGGTTCCCAGGATTTCTGATCTCTCTGGTCAACACATGAGAGAAACCAGAGCACAAAAAACAAACCCAGCTGCAGAAGAAAGGGTGGGGGAAACACTATTACATAGTATTCAACATTTCATACACATATGGTCTCAGCTAATCTTTATTAAAATGTTGTGGAGAATGTGAAACTCAGAAAAGTTAAGGTTTGGGAGGCTGAGGCAGGAGGATCTCTTGAGGCCAAGAGTTTGAGATCAGCCTGGACAACATAGCAAGACCCTGTCTTTACAAAAAAAATTAACCAGATATAGTGGTACATGCCTGCAGTTCCAGTAACTCGGGAGACTGAGGCAGGAGGACTGCCTAAGGCCAAGAGGTTGAGGTTTCAGTGAGTCAAGATCATGTCATGCATTCCAGCATGGATAATACAGTAGACTCAGACTCAAAACAAACAAACGAACAAACAAAAACAAAACCACACAACTAAGATATGTAACCAAAAGTCACACCCCAGACACACTTTCCACAGGCTGAAAGAGGACAACTCTTGTCTGGCCTAGGTGCTCACATCCAAAGAGAATAAAAAATATTCCATATTCAAATTCTTTCCCAACTTTTTTTTTTCCATTTTTCTTCTTCTCCCCAGAAATCAAACCAGGAATAACCTATGCTGAACCCACGCCTCAATCATCCCCAAGCGTTTCCTGACACACGTTCTTGGTTACGGCACACCACAACTGAAGAATGGGGCTCAACTTGACACTTGCCAAATCACCAAGTAAGCCACTGGAAAAGATGTGGAGAAAATCTTATTTTATTAATACTGTTATTTGCATGGTGTGATGATTTCAGGGATTTAATGGACACAGCACCAACTAACAAAATGACCCAGCATTTGGTCTTGCCTTTCTTTAGGTATAAACCAATAATAGCAAGAGGATGGCATTACCTAGATAATTGTAACTTGCTATCATTTCATTTTAAGCTTTGTTCATTTAGGCAACATCCCTAAAATGATGAGTGGGATTAGATCAATATTTAATTAATTTAATCCATTTGAGGAAGATTTTTAAACCCAAACTAAAAGTACATGATGTAATAGGCTAAAATCAAGGTTCACTGAGGTTCACCATGAGGCCAAAGACAACATCTACCTGCTCTGTGAGTAAATATTTAGAAAATGATCAGACTAAGGCAGCTGTACCATGGTAGTGACAGCCTATCATTTTCATGATATTATTATTGTATCCCCACCTGGCAGGTAGAGCAGGGACATATGTTGATACTTTGACATTTTGTGCCAAAGAGTGACACAACCCAGAGAACAATGATGTAGCTTCACCAAAGGCAAAAGTCCACTCTGTCATTCACAATGTGACTCAATTAACAGGACAAATTGTAATTAGCACCTCAAGTCATTGAGTGAACACATACTAAGTCCTAATACCTACTAACACCGTGCTCAAAACAATGTTTGCAAAGCATTTAACTCTCAGCACAATGAGGATGTATTCCATTTTATAGAGGCATCAAGTGACTAAACCAGCACTGTCAAGCAGAACTGTCTGCAATGATGAACATTCTCTAAATATAACATTGGTCAATATGGTAGCCGCATGTGGTTATTGGGACACTTAAATGTGGCTAGTACAATCGAGGAACTAAATTTATTTTTAATTGTGCTTAATTTTAGTTTACATTTTATTTTATTTTTATTTTTATTTTTTTTGAGTTAGAGTCTCGCTCTGTCACCCAGACTGAAGTGCAGTGGCCGCTCCCAGCCACTGCAGCCTCAACCTGCTGGGCTCCGGCTATCCTTCTGCCTCAGCCTTCCAAGTAGCTGGAACTACGGGTGTGCGCTACCACACCCGGCTAATTTTTTTGATTTATTGTAGAGATGAGGTCTCGCCAAGTTGCCCAGGCAGGTCTCAAACCCGCAGGCTCAGGCAATCCACTCACCTCAGCCTTCCAAAGCGCGGGATTACAGGCTGAGCTACGGAGCCCAGCTTAGTTTATATTTTAAAAGCCACATGTGGTTAGCACTATCTCTGGCTATATCTGGCTATGAAACCCATGCATTCCTCCAACACACACACACACATTTCCCCTGCAGAGATAGTCATAGTCCCCCCCACCTCCTAAGCATATGCATGTACATTACACCCTCACACATGGCACAAAATTAATTTATTATGGAACTAGAGTACTTATGTCATTGCATTTGCTAATTTTAAAAGAGTTGGGAAGCCAGGCATAGTGGCTCGTGACTGCACATGCCAGCACTTTGGGAGGCTGAGGCGAGAGGACTGCTTGAGCCTGGGAGTTCGAGACCAACCTGGGCAACATAGTGAGACCTCATCTCTAGAAAAAATTTTTTTTTAAAAAATCAAAAAAAATTAGCCAGACATGGTGGTGTACACCTATTGTCACAGCTATTCAGGAGGCTGAGGCAGGAAGACTGCCTAAGCCCAGGAGGTTGAGGCTGCAGTGAGCCATGATCACTATACTGCACTCCAGTCTAGGTAACAGATTGAGACCCCAACTCAAAATAAATAGATAAATAAGTAGAGCTGGGAGAGGGAGTATAGGGAAGACTAACAAAGGAGGCTTAACTCTCAAATATCCACTCTGTATCAAGCCCTGAGCTGTATAATACAGGGAATGCCATCTTAGTAAACGAGGACTATGTGAGAAAATAACCTTTATACTATAAAACAGCTTCTAATTTTTCTAGTCTAATCATCAAATTACTGTCATTAAAAATGTTCCCTAATAATTCAGCCAAGTTCTATGGCCAAGAAAATCAATATAATAAAAATGTCTGGGTGAAGACAGCCATTTGCTTTTAATGGCCAAAGTCCCTGAGCAGGAATAATGTACAGAGAAATGTTCTGAGCATACCCATGAGTTATAGAAAAAGTAGAGGCAATGATAGAGACGAAATGATAGGGGTAACTGGCAGAATAGCACGTGACATAGACTTTACTCTAAAAAACAAATCACACAAAACTCTTAGTGTTAAGTTTGGAGACTTCCAGAGCAACCCACAGATGGCTCATCTGCATCTCAGAGACCATTTTCTCTACTACCATACTATTTCATAACAATCAGCCTTCACAGGCTTGAACCAATAACTTGTTTAAGCTGCATTTTAAATGTGGGATTTGTGAATGAGGTAATAACTGGGCCCAAGCCTATCTCACTGAATTAAGATGTCCTATATCCCAAAATGTTTAACTTTTTTATATTCCAAAAAAGTCCAAAAAAAAAGCTTTTTTTGACATCCTGGATGAAGATTCTATCTTTAATAATAGCCATAATTGTTAGGTAAATCATCAAAATCGTCATTCAATAAGAACATTTGTTCATATAATTAAACTTTAAGATATTTTAATGACACACTGAACCAGCACACAATCCCTAAGCAACACAGTGAAGCACAGGTTCTTTCCTTCCACAATGGACATGCCCAGCAGATCCAGGAGCCAACACCAGCTGAAACACTCCCTGCCCAGTAGGCCATAGCTAGTAAACTCTTCTATTTGCATGGACAATGGTTCTGAAAAGCAATTCACAAGCAATTGTTCCAAGGCACAGCCATCACTTCAGGAGATGACCTAGTCATGCCTCTTCAGGCTCTCTCTCTCAGCTGGACCTTTTATTCTGATTTGAACTCAGTTGTCCTCACTCTACTTCCCTAAGGGCTCTATATTGGGATAGATGAAAGTGACTGCTGATAGTGTAATTGGGCAAATTCATTCAAGCAGATATCTTAGCTCAGTTAAAGCTGTACATCTTAAGAAACTCCTGATGGCACTGATCCCAATTTGGATCTTCTGGCTGAAGAAACAGCCAAGGTTACAACATTTCATTAAACCAAAACAGGCTTGCATGATACTGTACAAGGCAGTATTTGAAACTGGCAGCAGTGAGATAGATGGCAGCTGAATCAGGCATTTTAACTTGTAAAGCTTAATAATACTGTGGGTCTCATAACAGGCTAGTCCAGGTATAAATTACTAGCCCGTGTAAGGATGTTTAGGCCAGGAAAACCAGTTTTTAAAAACACTCATTGCAAGGAATAAAAGGAAAAGAATTAGAAAGAGGACAGAGTTACTCACGAAGAACCTGCACTTAAATTTCAGGCAGCAATTTAAGAACCTGTTTTGTATTATAATCATCAAAACTATCTTTTCTGTTTCTCTTTTTCAAAGAAAGGAACCAAAACAGATCCTCAATAGCTTCTCATCTAGGGAAATAAAGGGCAAAATTCATGTTGTAACCTCTTCAAAAAAATCAATCCAAAGCATAACAAATTAATTGTAAATAGTATTAATCAGCAGGAAATAAAAATTCAGCAAAAACCAATTTTGTTAGTTCAGGTTTTTTTTCCAAAAAGGAGTATGACAAAAATGTGATGGAATCGCCAAGATATTTACTGGGGAGAAAGGCTTCAAGAGAAAACGGGGACAGGCAGGAGGTGGGGCAGCCTTTCAAGCACCCATGGAGAAAAGAAGGAAGGCAGGTTGAGGAGGAACAGTGCAGCTTGAAGAAAGTTTGAACATCAATAAGTAGTCCTCCAGCCAAAGACTTTCATCAGAGAAAACTCTCTCAAAAGAACAGGTTTGTGTCAGTATCCCTGCCAAGTTCGGTGATGGGCTGGGAGCAGCCATGGGAGGATGGCATCTGCAGGACCGTGGGGGAGGACCAGAAGCATACAGCAGGAGCTGTCCAGGCAGCCCTGCAGTAGGGAACATGATCCATTTTCATGGCTGCCACAGATCAAAATGCTCATAGGCCACTTCATCAATTATGTGATAGAGTGATACGGTAGAGTTCTTTAATAACAAAAACTAAAAATTCCAAAAAAGCAAAAGGCTTTAAAAATTCACATAATAAATGCAATAGGTATAATCTAGTCTTATAAATAAGAAAAATGTACCAGATTGCATTTACTTTGAACAAGTTGTGTGCCTTGGCAATAAGCTGTAAAACCATAAAACTTTATTATTAAGAATGAGAAAACAAAATTAGTATTTCTCACTGTACTATAGAAAAGCATATATCTGTGGATATTCTTGACGTTACAAACACATTTTAACAAGAAATGCACTAGACGCTGTGTAAATACTTAATCGGCAGTAACTTCACATCTACATACAACTTAAATTCTACTGATGTGCAAACAGATCCAAGAGAATCAGCAAGTGAGATTTACCTCTTCCCCAGGCTTTTTTTTTCTTTTGACTGTTACTTTAGAAGACAATAAATTTTCTTTTTATTAAAAAAAAAAAACCCAAGACATTTTATTTCTATTCCTAATAATGTTTCCTAAAAGACCCTAAGTACTAAATTAAAGTTACAGGCAAAAAATTCAAAATGACACACTAGTTTTACTCCTGCCAAACTCTTGATTAAACAGCTTAAAACTCGAGAAAAAGATATTTATGTTATGTATATATTCTATATTTTTTCTATATATTTTAATAATATATTTTATATTTATATATATATATATATATATATATATATATATATATATATATATATACTTTTTTTTTTTTTTTTTTTGGAGTCGGAATCCTGTTCTGTTGCCCAGGCTGGAGTGCAGTGGCACGCTTACGGTCACCACAGCCTCCACCTGCTGGGCTCAGGGGATCCTTCCGCTTCAGCCTTCCTAGCCACCATGTCCAGTTAATTTTTTAATTTATTGTAGAGACAAGGTCTCACCAAGTTGGCCGTGCTGGTCTCGAACCCCTGGGCTCAAGCAATCCTCTCACCACTGCCTCCCAAAGTGCTGGGATTACAGGTGTGAGCACCACACCCTGTGGTTTGGTTTTTGTTTTCTCAAAGACTGTGCCAAAGGCTGCATTGAAACAACAACCATGTGCTAGCTATTTTATTTTCCTGTTACGGGAAATTTCCATTTTCTGCCCCATATTCTGTTGATTCTATGTATAATAATAGCAAAAACAGAATTTAAAACCAGGATAATTTACATGCATATGTTTATTTTCTTTTCTTTTTTTTTTTTTTTTTTTTGAGTTGGAGTCTCACTCTGTCACCCAGACTGGAGTGCAGTGGTCGCTCCCGGCCACTGCAGCCTCGACCTCG